GTCTGGAAATAACTCCGGATAGCTTGCAATTTCTTTGCAGTCTCATGTTATAAATTAATTTATAAATAAATAAAAATTAATATCAATTTTGAGGGGCGCCTGGGTGGCTCAGTTGGTTAAGCAACTGCCTTAGGCTCAGGTCATGATCCCAGGGTCCTGGGATCGAGCCCCACATCAGGCTCCTTGCTCAGCAGAGAGCCTGCATCTCCCTCTACCTGCTGCTTCTGCTTGTGCGCGCTCTCTCTGTCAAATAAATAAAATCTTCTTAAAAAATTAATGTGAATTTTGTTTTCTGATCCATGATATATCCCTCTTTGGTTTAAAATGTTTTAATTGGTTATTACCAAGTAGTAGTATTAACCAGCAGGAACATGTACCACATTTATCCTAGGACTGTTAATATTCTCCAACATACATGGTTTATCCCCAGGAAAGACAGGTGATAGACTATATAAAAAAGAGGTTTCAGGGCGCATACCTGGCTCAGTTGGAGAATCATGCGACTCTTGATCTCAGGGTCCTGAGCTCAAGCCCCACGCATGCTCCTCTGACTGAACCAACCAGGTGCCCAAAAATAAAATCTTTAAAAAAGAAAAAGAGGTTTCTAGGACTTATTTTACTCTAATGTGCATCTTTTTGGAAAAAGTAGTACTGGATTTGTTATATGTTTTTTGCTCTTTTTGTTGTTCTAATAGCTAAAGTAATGTTATATACTATTTTCCCTGCGTCAGAAACGTATTTTAGATAAATTAATTACACTGTCAAGGTGCTTTCCATTATTTGCCTATTGGTGTAATGACTGACAGATTTGAAGGGATTCCAAGATGCAAAAGCTCATAGATGCTTTGTTTTTAATTGATTTTTAGACTTGCATATTTTCTTTCAGGTGAATGACAGTCTAGTAGTTAATTTCCCGTGAGTTTTGCTTTGCTGGTTGTGTGTAATGCTCAAATGGGCTGGGCAGAGGCCATATGAGCTTTTATTGCACTTCACAAGTCAGGCCTTATTCATTTAATTTTCTGCTTTGGGATAGGGGCTTTCAGTGAAAGCTACCAGAAAAGTGGGGAAAGGACCAAAGATGAGAGAAGAGAATATAGAAGGAACCAGTCTATCCTGGAAAAAGAGGTGTTGGGGCTGAGCAATCAAAAGTCACTTGTAGGAGGGCCTGGGTGGCTCAGTAGGTTAAGCATCTGCCTTCAGCTCAGGTCATGATCTCAGGGTCCTGGTATCAAGCCCCATGTCCCACTCCCTCCTCAGCGGGGAGCCTGCTTCTCCCTCTACCTCTGTTCCTCCCACCTGCGTGTGCGCACACAAGCTCTCTCTCAAAAAATAAAAATCTTAAAAAACAAAAAGCACTTGTAGTTCCTCAAAAGCTATAAAATGGAATTATATTTTAAGCCTGAATGTGCAACAATCTTTTATATTTTGATTTTGGATTTTAACTAACTTATCTAGTTACCAAAAAGGAATCCATTAATGGGGGGGGCAGGCAGGCATGAAGTGTAAATGCAAAATAGATTCAAAACATATTTAGAAGGTATATTTGATCCACTTTGGTGATTAGATGTGGGAACTTTGAGAGAAGAGAAACTTAGGATTACCCCTAGATTTCTGGTTTGGGAAATTGGGTATATAGGATAGTGCATTTTATGAGAAAGGGAACATGTGTAAAGCAGGCTTATGGGAATTATATAAGAATATAGTTTTAAATCTCTTGAATTTGAGGGACCTGTGGAGCGTCCAAGTGGAGATATTTAGTAGGCAATTAGGTATATGGTCTGGAGCTCAGAAATATAGGGGAAAATCAGCCTATAAATGATATTTGAATCCAAGATTTTGACCACAGAACAAGTAAGAAAGAGTCCTGTGGAATTGTGCTTTGGAGGAACACAGATATTTTTATTTTTTAAAAGATTTTATTTGAGAGAGAGCATGAGCTGGGTGGGGTGGGGGGGCGCTGCAGAGAGAAAAGCAGAACGGAAAGCTCGACTCGGGGCTCTTTCCCAGGACCCCGGGATCATGACCTGAGCCGAAGGCAGATGCTTAACTAACTAAGGCGCCCAGAACACAGATATTTTAGAAGCAGGTGAAATAAATGAGAAGAAGACTGTCAAAGAGATAGGAGGAGAAATAGGCCTTGCAGTCATAGGATTCAAGGAAACAGAGAGGCTCAAGGATGAGGGAAGGGAGTGGTCAGAGGGCACTAGCTTTAAAAGTTGGATCCTTGGGGCACCTGGGTGGCTCAGTTGGTTAAGCGACTGCCTTCGGCTCAGGTCATGATCCTGAAGTCCCGGGATCGAGTCCTGCATCGGGCTCCCTGCTCAGCGGGGAGTCTGCTTCTCCCTCTGACCCTCCCCTCTCTCGTGTGCTCTCTCTCTCTCTCTCATTCTCGCTCTCTCAAATAAATAAAGTCTTTAAAAAAAATAAAAAAATAAAAGTTGGATCCTTGAATGTATTTGAATGTTTATATGTGAAGAACCAATAAGGAGGGAAAGAGGAGTTGAAGAAGATATAGATAATAATTGGCTCTACAAGAGGGTCGTGGCAGGGGAGAGGTAGTGAGCACAGGTATTTGGATTAACCTTGGATAAAAGACTTTATGTTTTCTAAGACTAAGTTAAAAGTAAACTTGTGGGTTTGGTGAGCTTATACTAGAGGCAGGCCTGGGAGAATAGAAGTGGAGAAAACTAGTCCCAGAAGAAAGCACAGAGATATGTCTACCAAAGAATTATAAAGCAAAGCTATGTTGGGGAATAATGGATGAAGGGAAGAAAGCCAGTGTTGGTACTGTGAAGGAACCTTGAGTCCAAGCTGTCTGAAGACCCTTTGTGCTTCCAGAAAATCAGACTCTCCCATCAATTCATATTTTATTTTAGGAGCCTGGATACTATTCCCCAAGAAGAAATTCATTAGTTTGGACCTGGAGGATTCTTTTGTATCAGACACCAAGATGAAAGAATCACCGATAGATGGTAAATGTGACAAAGCAGTGATGCCACAACTGGGACGGCTAGATGAAATTAAGGCGGAACCTGACAATGCTCAGGTAAATATCCTACTTTATTTTCTTTTTTGTAGAGCAGCATTTAAGTTTACATTTCAGTTATGCAGATGCTGGTTTACTGACTGAAAACCTGAAATCTTTATCTTCCCCTAAGCAGTTGGTCAAGTAATACAAGGTATATGGTGTGAAGTGCCATCACAACTATATGCAAGAATATGATTTGAGCAAAGAATGGATGTTTAGAATTGGGTTTCGGATTGATAAAAGGATTGCTTAGGGTATTGTGGGCCTAGCTAAGGTTAACACATTTTTGTTTTCATTTTTCTTAATTTGAAACAATATGAGTAACTAATTGTATGTTTTTATGCTACTGACTCTGTTTAGTACATTATAAATTCTTAGAATTTTTTTCTTTGTAATTCCTCTACCCAAATCAGTTTCATATTTATTCTTAAACTTTTTTAGACATATTATATGCTAAAGAACCTGTAACAAGCTGTGAATGTTCTGTGAGTAGTGCCAAATTTCCTTAAAATGTTTATATATGAACTAGTTGAAATTTCTAATGAAACAAAAAGTAAATCAGTTTTAATTTATTTCTAGTATTCTGTTTAGAAATAGCCTAAAGTAAATCAGTATTAAGTAAGGACATGACTCCCATTGAGTTGGTGACACTGGGGAATGTTGTCCATCTAGGAAGTATTGATTGCTTCTTCAGTCTATGGACATTCAAACACATAGATCATGTTTAGATAGAGTGCCTGCTGCTCTGAAAAATCCTCTGCAAGACTCATTTAGCCCACTCCAACAACTTTGGTATTTAAGGTCTTTAATTAGCTATTATTGATTAGAACAAGGAGGGAAAATAGGTGTTATTACTGAGTGTGTCTCCTCTATTTGTGGTAGCTTACTGAAGGACTCTGTGAACAAAAATTACTGAAATCACATCTAGGTATGATAGAATATAATATATAATGTATAGAATATAATGTGTCAGCCAAAGGTCACCAAAAGGGAACTGTTCACCTGTGTTCAGTTCAGTTATACAATTCACTAACATACAGCATTATATATCAATAATATACAGTATTATTTTCTGTTGAATAACTAGTTGTTTTATACACATAGTATTCATTATTTTCATCTCTTTTTTTAGGAGTATTGTCAAGCCCAGCAGCCTAAAACTCAGGAGAATGAACTGAAAATAAACACCACATTTTCAGACAGTGGTAATAGAATTACTTAAATTAATCCTATTTATTCTAACCAGTGTAATAGCCAGTTTATTCTACTTTTTTAGAGTGTCTTTGAATAGTGCATTGTTTGGGGTTTCAAGTCCAGAAGTAACCTCTAAAAGAAAACAAAAGAATGCATACTTAATTTTACGTAAATACTAATTTTCTTCCTTCCTGTTTTGTGTTTATAGCTCCACAGTTGACTGCAGGCATTCAGCTTTCTCTGACATCATCTGGCATGAATAAAATGCTTCCTTCAGTTTCAACCACAGCTATTCAGGTTTCCTGTTCTGGTTGTAAAAAAATCCTCCAGAAGGGGCAAACTGCTTATCAGAGGAAAGGGTCTACTCAGCTTTTCTGCTCCACGCTGTGCATCACTGAATACATTTCATCTGCCAATTCACCAGCTCTTCCCAAGAGAACTTGTTCAAACTGCTCAAAGTATATAATTCTAAATTATGCCCCCTTTTAATTCCCTACATAGATCTTGATCAGAGTCTTGGTTGTAACTGTCTACCTTTTCATTTTTTCTTTTCTTTTCTTTTTTTTTTTTAAGATTTTATTTATTTGACAGAGCACAAGCAGGGGGAACAGCAGAGGTAGAGGGAGAAGCAGGCTCCCCGCCGAGCAGGGAGCCTGATGCGGGGCTTGATCCCAGGACCCTGGGATCATGACCTGAGCCAAAGGCAGATGCTTAACCATCTGAGCCACCCAGGCGCCCCATTTTCATTTTTTCTGAAGAAGTATCACCTTGATTTAGTGAAAAGCTGCTTCTGCTTTCAGTTCTTCTGTTAGATTCTTCAGAAATACTTTTTTTGTTGAGAGATTTGCAGAAATTAAAATGTAAGGAGTTCTATTTCTCTTCATCCTTACATAATGTGACTTCTGAAACTTACCTTCCTACTCTTTTCATTTGAAATTCCCTATAAATGAAATTATATGCTCATTCTATTTTATCATTTAACCATATAGGAGGCAAACCACTAACACATTAATCATGTAATAGTTAATTTGGATCTTCCAAGGTATAAAATAGCCAAGGTATAACATTATAAAATAATGTTTCTCATAATGGTAAATGAAATTATTCGATCCTTTTACAAAATTGAATAGTCATAGGTAAACACGGATGGATGTAGTCTTTTCAAGATTTCAGTGAGCTACTGCTGGGGTTTGTATTGCTAACTTTTTTATATATATACGTAAGGCAATTTGGATGCAGAGAAAGGAAGTAGTAGTAATTTCATAATGAATTAGTGGAAAATGTCCAAAACTTTGAACTCTACCCTGAGATATATAAAGGATCAACGTGCTTTGAGACTCCTATCGTAGTATAATTCTGGTTTGTTAGTACTCATTAAATGCTAATGCTAAATTTTTAATGTTTTTGTTTCGGAACAAAGAAAACACATAAGCCACCAGTTTTGCTCGTAAATATAATAAATTACTTTCATATGTCTTATTTTGGAAACAGGTTGCCATAATTTGCATCTTGCTTCCTCCATTTACGGTTATATTGTACAACTCATAGCAGCTGTAGCAATATCATCTGGGAGCTTGTTAAATAAAAATACAGAATCTCAGGCCTCATCCAGACCTACTGAATCAGAATTGCATTTGTCCCCAGATGGTACATCTATATGCTAAAGTTTGAAAAGCATCAAGAACTTCTTAGTATTACCATTTGTTTTGTTAAATGCACATAAGAATTATGAGCATTAAATAATAGATTTAAGTGATCAGAATAATACTGGCATGTAATAAGACCTCAATAAATGTTAATTATCACTGTTATTCTCTTAACAAACTCACAAACCCTTTTTATTGGTTGCTTCAGCTCCTTGTTTGGCTGCTGCTTCGGGTATTTGTTGCTTCGAGTATTACTCCCTGAAACAACCTTTCTCTTTGTGTTTTTTCAACCCTTCAATACTATGTCTTTTTTCCTTTTTGCTAAGGGCTATAAGGCACTCTCTTCAGTCTGCTTTCTTTCTCTGCAGAATCATAAAACTGGAAGGGACCTTAGAGATCATCCAGTCCAAACATTTTCTTTTGGTTTTGAGGAAACTGAGGTCCTGAGAAGTTAAGGTATCATGTTACTGTGTTTGGAGTTTACCCATTATACATCTTCAGCAGATCTCCCAGACAGATTGAAAAGGCTGAAACAGGAAAGATATAGTGTGTAAGTTGTTCCCTAAGATGAAGAAATCCAATATGAGCAAAAATATGAAACAGGTTTTACTTCCTTTGGAATACAAATTTTTTTTGTTACAAATACTATTGTATAGGTTGGTGGAAAGGTAATAATGCTTAGGTTGGGAGAGACCATCCATTGTTCAGAGTAACCTGTGCTTTTTAAAAAAATTTTTTTCTTCCACATTTATTAGCATCTTGTATTAATATATAGTTCTCAAGATTTTAGCTAATTATCAGTTAGTACTGAGGTTTCTTTCATAGCAATGATTTAAAATCTGTTTTGAGTTAATGCAGTTTTTATTCTGTTTCATGAACCAAATAAAAGTTAGCTTCGAAAATGGCCTTTTAAATCATGTTAGAAAGAGAAGACTTTTTTTGAGAGCAGTGTATTTAAGAAGTGTCATTTCTGTACTTTAGTATCCCAGTTGGAACCAACCAGAGATTCTGATAGCAATCAAAAGAGTTCAGAATATCCCTGTGCTATATAACACGTGTAGGAAAGTTGTTCAGTCTTGTGCTTAGAGTTTGTTTAAGCTAATTTTAGGTACTATTAAGAAAACTCATTTTTTAGTTTTTTATTTATAAGGACTTAGTAGATTAGAAACCAGGAATGTAGTATACTGGTAGCAGTAAAAATCAGTAAACATTTTCAGACTTCCATGCTTTTGCCGATCGTTTCTTCTGCCTCCCTTTCCATCCGCTAATTTCTTTCTGTCTTAAAGGTCTGCCTCAAATATCTTTACCTCTTGTCTGTTCCCACACCATTTTTTCCTCTCCTCTCACTAACCCCCCCACCCACTCGGAGTAATTATTCCATGGCCTGTGTTTTAATAGTGTTCATAGTTCCCACAACATTAATCATAAAATTAGTGTTTTTAAAGAAAGAATTGATAATTGCCCCAGTTGGACTATGAACGTCTTTTTTTTTTTTTTTTTAAGATTTTATTTGTTTATTTGAGAGAGAGAAGGAGCAGGGAGAGGGGGAAGCAGACTCCCCACTGAGCAGGAGCCCAATGCAAGACTCAATCCCAGGACCCCGGGATCATGACCTGAGTCGAAGGCAGATACCTAACCAACTGAGCCACCCAGGCACCCCTAGACTATGAACCTCTTGAGATTAGGAACCAGATCATACTCATCTTTATATTCCCGGTGCCTAAACACCAACTGGCACACAGTGAATCCTAGAAAAATTTTTGTCAAGTAAAGTACAAGGATAGCACAACTCAGATACTGCATTTAGAGCTATATTTTAAACCAGTAAAATGATTGATTCATGATAATAAAATGAACCTGTTATTTTTGGTACCATCTATTTAAGAAGGAGGAAAATCATAATACACTAAAAATTTGTAAGTGTTAAAGTGTTAAAATAGTGTTGATTTCAGGAATATTTCATCTGGAAAACTATTATCCTGAAAGATTGATACTCTAAGGGTTCTAAGTAGCCATACATCATGGCAGTTCTTAAACATTCTGGTCTCTGGACCCCTTTCCACTCTTAAAATTTTTTGAAGAGCCAGAGAGCTTTATGTAGGTTCTATCTACCAATATATACTGTGTTAGAAATTAAAATTGAGAAATTTTTAAACTAATTATTAACTCATTTAAAAATAATAACTCATTGCATGTTGACATAAATAATATTTTTAATGAAAAATAGCCATATACATTTTTTAATTTAGTGAGGAGGAATTTTAAGAAAAATTAAGTAAGCATCATTTTATCAGGTTTGCAAACCACTTCAACGTCTGACTGGGTTTTCATATCTGCCTCTGTTCAGTTTATTGGAAAATGTTGTTTTAGCTGAAGTGTGAAAAAAATCTGGCACTACAATATGTAATTGGAAAAGGGAGGAGTGTTTTAATAGCCATTTAGATTTTGTGGATGCTCTTCTTTGATCCTCTACCAGAAAACAGGTAGTACTTCTTAAAGGTTAGTTACAATGTGAAATCTGAAACCATACCAAAGAATTTTTTGTACTGTTAGGTTAAAATACATTGGTCTGTTTGTACTTTGAATAGTTTTTTTTTTTACCCATGAATGAATGATTTTTCTTACATGCTATCATAATTTGGAAAGTACTGGTTCACTGAGTTATGTAGATCTTCCGAATGTTGGCGTATATTTTTTTTTTAAAGATTTCATTTATTTATCTGAGAGAGAGAGAGAGACAGAGCGCACACGGGTAAATGAGCAAGCAGAGGAAGAAGCAGACTCCCTGCTGAGCAGAGAGCCTGACATAGGGCTCGATCCCAGGACCCTGGGATCATGACCTGAGCTGAAGGCAGACGCTCAACCAACTGAGCCACCCAGGCACCCCTGTTGGCATATTTCTTTATGCAATATTTTTAAAATCACATTTGTTAAAAGAAACACTAAAAAAAAAAAAAAAAAACCACTAATCTTATCAGGAAAGCTTAACTATTGGGAAGCAAGTTGGAGATGGCATATTTTCCATAATTCTAATTTTTTTTTCCATAATTCTAATTTTCAATGAAAGCTCGACTTTTATCATTGGCAGTGAAACTGCCAATTGTTTATCTTGAAGTAACAGTCTTACTTTATTCATTTTTGAGAAAATATTTGCCAGATACCCACTCTGGATAATAGTTTGTTCTTTCAAGTAAAAATGTATTCCATGAAAAAAGTAACTACCTCAGGTTGTAACCCTTAACATTCCCACATGAGATTTTCCTTGAGACAACCATCATACTTTGGTGTGCAGGAGAAGTACTTTATGCCTGTGTCCCATATCATCACACAGAATACTAAAAAGAGGTTGTCAAGGATAAAGTTTAATAAAGTAGATGATTTTTACAGCGAATGTGTAGCAACGAATAACACATACTAGGACATTCTGGTTCAACTGCCTTAATTTGTGCTAAGGCTCTGGCGTTTGACCCAGCATTGTTTTTTTTCTCCCAGTTTATTGAGGTGAAATTCACATAACAAAAAGCCACTTAAGTAGTATTTAGTACACTCAACAGTGTCTAGTTCAGAACATTTCTGTCACACCAGTGTATCCAGTAAGCAGTTTCTCCCCAGAGGTCTCTTCAGCCCCGGGCAACCACCAATCTGCATTCTATCTATGGATTTACCTATTCAGGATATTTCATATTACTGGAATCCTACAACATACAACCCTCTGTGTCTGTCTTTTAGCATAATGTTTTTGAGATTTATCCGAGGTTTATATGTGTTGTAGCATGTACAGCAGCACTTCATTCTTTTTTTTTTTTTTAAAGATTTTATTTTATTATTTATTTGAGAGAGAGAGAATGAGAGATAGAGAGCACGAGAGGGAAGAGGGTCAGAGGGAGAAGCAGACTTCCCGCAGAGCAGGGAGCCTGATGCGGGACTCGATCCCGGGACTCCAGGATCATGACCTGAGCCGAAGGCAGTTGCTTAACCAACTGAGCCACCCAGGTGCCCTCATTCTTTTTTTTATAGCTGAGTAATATTCCCTTGTATGGATATAGCACAGTTTGTTTATCCATTCATTCATTGGTGAACATTTGGGCTGTTTCCATCTTTTAGCTATTTTTTTTCTTTTTTAAGTAAGCTCCAGGCCCAGTGTGGGGCTTGTACTCACAACCCTGAGATCAAGAGTTGTGTGCTTTACCAACTGATCCAGCCCAGTGCCCCTATCATTTTAGCTATTTGAAATAGTGCTATTAGGAACATACATGTATTTATACTTTTTTGAGTACTTCTCTTCAGTTCTTTGGGGTACATACCTAGGAGTGGAATTGCAGTGGCCCATTGTTGATTTTGTACCATCAGTTCAAATGTTAACATAGGGAAAAAGGGTTTTTTTTGACAAATAATATTTTAATATGAAAATAGTTTTGTTTTTGTGGACCCCTCTAAAAGTATCCGGAGTATCCCCGGAGTTTTGTAGACCATATTTTGATATCCTCTGTCTTATAGATTACAAAGTTGGTCAGGTATGAATATGTGATTTCTCATCATCATTCTATTATCACTAGCACTAATTAATATAAGCTAGGTAATCCTTAAACTGTGCTATCATATGTGTTTATAATCCCTACTTTATAGATGAGGGAATCAACATTTGGGAGTATATATGACTTATCCGTCATTACATAATATAAGTCCTAGAACTAAATACCAAATTCAGGTTTTCTTATTTCAAGGCTGATGTCACTGCTGTTGCACCATCTAAAGGTAGATGAAATGGGAGAGGGTTACTTGAAGGAGTGCTTTAACTTATAAAAGTGTTTAATGGTGCCCTTGTTTTTCCTTTTAGAGACATTTTAAATCTAAAGGATGTGATCAGTGTCCAGCTAGAAGATAATACATCTAGCAAAAATTTTTGCAGCCAGTCTTGTCTTTCATCATATGAAGAAAAAAGAAAAGCATTTGTTACTATATGTACTAATAGCATTTTAACCAAGTGCAGCATGTGTCAGAAGACTACTGTTGTAAGTTGCAATTTTTTTTAACTTTTAGGGGTTCTGATTATTTTGCTTAAATATTAGAGTTTTTACTGAATTTTTTTGAATCCTAGATTCAGTATGAAGTTAAAATACCAGCATGTGAAACACTGTCTTTGTCGTAATGCCTGTTTTCAGTTTCACTCTGACAACCTCATCACGGTGTGTCTTGATAACTGTGGCTTACTATTAAACTGTCTCTAGTCTGTTTCATATGCTTCAGATGAAAGGACAGTCCCATTACTTTAATAGTTCGAGGAGAGGGGTGCCTGGGTGGCTCAGTCAGTTAAGCGTCTGACTCTTGATTTCAACTCATGTCATGAGATCGAGCCCCACATGAGGCTCTGTGCTCAGTGCACAGTCTGCTTGTCCCTCTCCTTCTGCTCCTCCCCCACCCCATGCACTCACGCACTCCCTCTCTCAAATAAATAAATAAAATCGTGAAAAAAAATAGTTCAAGGAATATTACAGCATATAAGCAGGTATGAATAAAGACCTGTTGCATAAAGAACCACTCCATTTGAATTTGACTGCATGGGACTCAAATGAAACATCTAAGATTGAGTTCCTTCCATTAGTTCGCTTGTGGATGGTTCCACTTTAGGAAAAGGGTAGGGATTAGCTTTTCCTACCATTGGGAATAGTTTCAGTTGGTAGGACAGTGAAAAAGATGAAATAAAAGACTTCTGACTGTTCCTCTTACATAACAATTCATGATAAATTCTGTTTGGAGATTTTCCTAAAGAATCTCAGGATGATCTGGCCTTGAAGAAAAGCCAAGCATATGAAAGCTTGTTTATAAACTGCAAATAAAGATAGCAGAAATAATAATAGCCTACTGGTCAGTAAGACTCAACCACAGAGTGTTTTTTTGTTTTTTTTTAAGATTTTATTTATTTGATGGAGAGAGAGACAGTGTAAGAGGGAACACAAGCAGGGGGAGTGGGAGAGGGAGAAGCGGGGCTCCATCCCAGGACCCTGGGATCATGACTTGAGCCAAAGGCAGACGCTTAACAACTGAGCCACGCAGGTGCCCCACACAGTGTTTTTAATTCTATGTTTTCTTATACCTAAGCAAGGTTAAAATGAATCAGGAATGTCACATGCTTTTCTGAATGCGAAATAATCCCCTATTTCTGGTAGGAGAGCCTTGGGTGGGAGGTTCTGAGAACAGAGAAGCTGGGTCCTGCTTTGGTGGACTAAATGAGATTAATGCAATTGGTGGTCTGAGCCCCTTTCATGAGGTAGGATTGAGGTTGTCTTGCTTGTTCAGATGATGCTTTGAGACCCAACTCTGTTTCCGTAAATTCTTCCTTAAAATCATGCAATTGAGGATAGAATTCTCAGCAAGTCTGAACAATTCAAATAGGTCATTTGTAAGTCACATCTTTTCTTTCTTTCTTTTTTTTTAAATTTTTTTAAGATTTATTTGAGAGAGAGGGAAAACGAGAGACAACACGAGTGGAGGGGGAGGGACAGAGAAAAGGGAGAAGCAGATTGTCTGCTGAGCAGGGAGCCCAATGTGGGGCTTGATCCCAGGGCTCTGGGATCATGACCTGAGCAGAAGGCAGACACTTAACCAACTGAGCCACCCAGGCACCCCAGGGCTTCTCAAAATATAAAAAGTCATACTAGTAAAGTGTAAAAGAATTTTCAAAGTTATACTCTTTTTTTGTTTCATTGTTCCTTTGCCAATATCCTGTTTTTCACGGAAGAAAATGTGTATTTTTTTTTTGAGAATTTATTTATTTGAGAGAGAGAATGGGGGAGCAGAGGGAGAAGCAGGCTCCCTGCTCAGCAGGGAGCCTGATGTGAGGCTCGATCCCAGGACCCTGGGATCATGACCTGAGCTGAAGGCAGACATTAACCGACTGAGCCACCCACCCACCCCTGTATAAGATATTTTCATTTGTCCTTGTACCTTATGCCCCAAAAAGCAGTTCTTTTTCACCATTGCCATAAGTCCAGGAATGATAGTTCCTGTTTCAGTAGAAACAATAGATGGTAAGCCTCACAGTTTATATCATTTACCTTTGCACACTTACTGCTTCCTGAATGCACTATATTCTATATATTTTACTGCTTGTATGCTACTTTCTTACAGTATGCTTGCAATTTTAACCATGAAGTTAGCCTAGAAAAACAGTCATTCCCACAGCCGTTTTCTGGCTCCTCCTTAGTACCAATAGAAGGCTTTTCCTGAGTTAATATTCAAAGTGGAATTGAGGAAAGATATAATTGTAAGACTTTATTTATCCAGTTAGCTTTGATTGCCTGGAATGATGAACATATTCTATGACCTCTTTCTTCATTGCTTGCATATGTATTACTGCTGCTACTAATATTATCTGATAAATAACACAAATAGTGATTTATTGGATTGATCTATTTCTTTCATTTTTGTCACTGTAATCTGTATTGACTTTTTTTTCTCTTGTTTGTTTTTAATTCAAGTTACTTAATGTATAGGGTATTGTTATTAGTTTCAGGGTAGAGTTTAGTGATTCATCAGTTGCATATAATACCCAGTGCTCATTATTTTTTTCTGGTTTTTAAGAAAGTATAAAAATGTGGGTTCATTATCATCACTTGCTATATTTTAACTAAGAGCCGTAATGATGAGTATATTTTTGTTTTGTTAACAATATATGTCATATACCAGGAATATGAATATTACTTTAATCTCTAAACAGAAACCAAGCAAAACACTTACATCTGTTCCTTGCAAATCATTGAAGCCCTCAGATGAAGTGATTGAGACCACCAATGACTTGGGGAAGACAGACCTTTTTTGTTCTATTAATTGTTTCTCTGCTTACAATAAAGCTAAGACAGAATCATCTACAGGTAATGTTTGTTTAGCAGTTATCAGAGGTTTAGAAACTATTGAAGAATATTACTGCTTTCCTTTAATTTATAACCTTGATTCATCTTGAAATTAAACTGACTTAAGAGTCAAAACAATGCAAAAATTCATTGCAAAAAAAATGTTTTCCAGGTGCGCCTGGCTGGCTCAGTCGGTAGATCATGTAACTCTTGATCTCAGGGTCATGAGTTCAAGCCCCACATTGCGTATGGAGCCTACATTTTAAAAAAAGTTTTCCAGTAGTTTTATATAAAAGGAAGCCTACTTCACAACCAGAGACTTATATTTATTTGTACAGATTGTTGTGTTAGAATATAGAATTTTGTACTTAGCTCTGCTTTGTAAAAACAAGGCTATTAGTTACATTTTTTACAGGAAATAGAACTAGTTGGAAATACTTGGAAGTTCACTAATAGAAAAACACAAGTCACCCAGGGCCAACTTTGTATTCCATCAAAGAGCCTCACATAGGACCACTGGTCCTATTTACATAGATAATAAAGTAAATGATGCCCCTGGGGCTTGTACATCATGTAAACTAGCTTATTATAGAAATCTTTGCAATACTAGCTTAGACACCAGTGTAGCTCCATTCATGTTGAGGGTTATGAATCTTTTTTTTTTTTTTTTAAGATTTTATTTATTTGACAGAGACACAGCGAGAGAGGGAACACAAGCAGGGGGAGTAGGAGAGGGAGAAGCTGGCTTCCCGCGGAGCAGGGAGCCCGATGCAGGGCTCAATCCCAGGACTCTGGGATCACGACCCGAGCCAAAAGCAGACGCTTAACGACTGAGCCACCCAGGCGCCCTGAGGGTTATGAATCTTGAAAGAGTTAGAAATGATACCCATTAGGGACGCCTGGCTACCTCAGTCGGTAGAGCGAGCGACTCTTAATCTTGGGGTTATGCGTTCGAGCCCCATGTTGGGTGTAGAGATTACTTTAAAAAAATAAAATATTTTTTAAAATGATGAAAGAAATGATAACCATTAGGAGATTCTTCTTCATGGGTAATTTCATGTAAAGATTTGCTTGAAATTTCAAGCAAATGGTATAAAAGAACTGAGAAATTGTATGCAAAGGTAAAATATGTTAAAAAATGGAAAAAGGAAATTATCAGTTTGTTATTAATGCGTTATCCTAAAGAACCTGGCTATCCCTAAGCCGTACTCCAGTATCCAGCAATAATACCTAAAGCTATTAGTTGTTTTTTTTTTTTAAGATTTTATTCACTTATTTGACAGAGAGAGAGTATATACAAGCAGGGGGAACAGCAGAGGCAGAGGGAGAAGCAGGCTCCCCACCGAGCAGGGAGCCAGATGCGGGGGTCAGTCCCAGGACCCCAGGATCATGACTCAAGCCGAAGGCAGACGCTTAACCCACTGAGCCACACAGGTGCCCCAAGCTATTAGATTTTTGCATTGTTTGTTGAAACACTTGTTATTAAACAGTGCTTTCTGATTGATTCTGCTTGGTTTTTGAGAAATCTTTTTATTTTTTTTCAGTAAATGTTTCCGTGGTACACGATGCCTCAACGGATCTCTTTTCTCCAAAGAAAGATACAACTCCAGTTATAAGCAATATAGTGTCATTGGCAGATACTCATGTTTCCCTACCCATCATGAACTCTGATGTCTTACAAGGTAAAATTGATATAAAGTTACCTGACATATACACTGTTTTCCCATCCTTGATGAATCTGTCTATATTCTAAGGTTGTTTTTGTTGTCTGATATGAAATAAGCAATTGTAGTTTATGATGCTATTTTATAGCATATATTTTATTGCATATAAGATCTTGAATTGATGATACTCTTTTATTTTAGCAGATACAGTTTCTTCAATAACAGCAAATGTCATTGTAGATGTAAGTTTTGTCCTTAATATTTTTGACACTGTCTTTTCTTTTTTAAGCATATTTTGTGCATATATATATGTGTGTGTGTGTGTGTGTGTGTGTGTCCATATATATATATGAGCATATTCATTCCTGTTTTCATCCAAGAGCTCAGAAAAGTTTAGCAAGAGACATCTTTTGGTATTCACATTCAATTGCCCAAATCTCAGGTTTGACTTGAAATTATTCATAAGAATATTTAAACAGAAGTATTATTAGTTGTAGTTTTTCCTCTGGATTCTTTATTACTTTTTTCAGTATTCTAGGTCATGTGAGCAAAAATTATTTTTATTACAATTACATACCAAAAGATTCTTTGAACATCTAATGCTGAATCTAGATTACAACTTTATATTATAAATAATTGTTAATGTTTCCCCCTAGTGGAGCTCATATTGCAACTCACCCATTCATTTTATTGTGTTATTAGAATAGATGTGTTTGATATTTTAATTATTTGAAAACTGTTCAAACAAATGCTTTTCTCTTTTTCTCCCAAACATTTCTAAGAGTTTACCCAGTGAATCAAGTAGTGGTGTTGCTACTGGTAGTGTTGAACAGCCAAGCCTTTCACCATCTTCATCAATACCCAGTCAGCATATGGTTGAGTCCAGTGTAGAAGTACAAAAAGATCAAGTGTCAAACCAAGATGCTACATACAATAGGAAATCTGTGAAAATAAGTGATGGACTATGTCACCCAAAATTTACATCCAGAGTACAAAAAGTTAAGTCACGAAGCATTAAAAAATCTTGGTGTTCAAATTTCCAGCATTTGAAAAACAGTATTAAAAAGGAAGTGACATTCTGTTATTCATGCCAGTTGTTCTGCCAAAAAAATTTTAGTTTTGGAGGAGAATCATTTGCAGCCCAAGGAATTTCTAATTGGAAAAAGACTCTAGAAAAATTCAGAAAGCATGAAAAAAGTGAAATGCATTTGAAGTCATTGCAGTTTTGGAGGGAATACCAGTTTTCTGATGAAGTCATCAGTGATAATTTATCTATTCATTCAAAACAGATTGAAGGAAATAAAAAGTACCTAAAGCTTATAATTGAAAATATTTTATTTCTTGGGAAGCAGTGTTTACCATTAAGAGGAAATGACCAATCGATTTCATCTGTGAATAAAGGCAATTTTTTAGAACTGTTAGAAATCAGAGCAAAAGATAAAGGAGAAGAAATATTTCGATTTATGAGTTCACAAGTTGACTTCTATAATAGTACACAAATTCAAAATGATATTATTGAAATAATAAAGACTGAAATGCTGCAAGATATTGTGAATGAAATCAATGCCTCCTCAGCTTTTTCAATAATATGTGATGAGACAACTGATAGTGCCACTAAAGAACAGCTTTCAGTTTGTGTAAGATACCCACAAAAAATGTCAAAGGCTGTCTTAATTAAAGAAAGATTCTTGGGTTTCGTAGATATTGAAGAGATGACTGGGACTAACTTACATAGGACTATCAAAACTTACCTGCAGCAAATTGGAGTTGATCTGAAGAAGATATGTGGCCAGGCCTATGATAGTACTACTAATTTGAGGGGAAAATTTAGTAAAATTGCAGCAGAATTCAAGAAAGAAGAGCCAAGAGCTTTGTACATACATTGTTATGCACATTTTTTGGATTTATCAGTAATTAGGTTTTGTAAAGAAGTGAAAGAACTCCGAAGTGCTCTAAATACTCTCAACTCTTTGTTCAACACTATTCATATGTCTGGGGAAATGTCTGCAAATTTTCAAAACATTTGTAAGCTAAGTCAAAACAAAACATGCAAGAAACATATATCACAATCATGTTGGACAGTCCATGATCATATATTACTGTCTGTGATTGAGGGCCTTCCAGAGATTATTGAAACATTGGAAGTTGTATCAAGCCATTCTTCAAACACAAGTTTGGCTGATGAATTGAGTGATTTGTTAATATTGGTTTCCAAATTTGAATTTATCTTTTGTTTGAAATTTCTTTATCGAGTGTTAAGTGTTACAGGAATTCTTTCCAAAGAGCTTCAAAGTGAAACCATAGATATTTTTTCGTTGTCTTCAAAAATAGAAGCAATTTTGGAATGTTTATCATCTGAAAGAAATGATGCCTATTTCAAAACTATCTGGGATGGAGCAGAAGAAATATGTCAAAAAATAACCAGTAAAGGTTTTGAAGTTGAAAGACCTTCTTTTCAGAAAAGAAGAAAAATTCAGAAAACAGATCTTGGCAATTCAGATAGTATGTTTTTTCCTACTTCAACAGAAGAACAATATAAAATTAATATTTATTACCAAGGATTGGATACTATATTAAATAATTTAAAATTATGTTTTTCAGAGTTTGATTATTGTAAAATGAAGCAAATTTCAGAACTATTATTTAAATGGAATGAACCATTAAATGAAACAACAGCCAAACATGTCCAAGAATTTTATAAACTTGATGCAGATATCATCCCAGAACTTAGATTTTATCGGCAATATGCAAAGCTCAATTTTGTCATAGATTATGATTATATCAACTTCATTAATCTTGGCTGTTTGTTTATTCAGCATGGTCTTCACAATAATATTCCTTGCATATCAAAGTTATTATATATTGCTTTGTCTTGGCCAGTTACTTCAAGTGCTGAAAATTCATTTTCTATACTGCCCCGTCTTAAAACATATTTATGTCATACCCTGGGACAAGAGAAGCTTAGCAGCCTAGCCCTAATGGCTGTTGAGCAGGAATTGGTAAATAAACTGATGGAACCTGAAAGACTCAATGGAATTGTGGAAAAGTTTATCCATCAGATGAAAGAAACATAACACTTGCTAATTTGAATTTACCTAAAAATTTTGTATTTCTGCTGGAATGTTTGTTTTTTATTTCAAAATTTTATCTCCTAAGAAAAAAAATTTTTTTCATCAGAACATGTAACATTCACTTGATTGAAAATTCAAAAAAAATGGACTGAAAAGAGATAAGTCTCCTTCCCCATTTTAGTACCCAATTCCTCTTCCCTGTAGTGTTATCTGTTTCTCAAATATCCTCCTGGAGATATTTTTCACAGATAATACTCTGCAGTGCATACCGTTCTTCAACTTGTCCACTTAACGTATTTTTGAGATTGTCCTATGTCAGTACATAGTTTCTTTTTTTTTTTTTACAACTGCATAAAATTTCATTGTATGAATGTACCATAATATATTTGAGCAGTACCTAACAATAAACATTTCAATTCTTTCTAGTATTTTGCTATTATAAATAATCCTGCATTTAATAACCTCGTACAGGGGCCTGGGTGGCTCAGTCGGTTAAGCGTCTGCCTTCAGCTTGGGCCATGATCCCAGGGTCCTGGGATCGAGCCCCACATTGGGCTCCCTGCTCGGTGTGGTGGCGGGGGAAGACTGTTTCTCCCTTCCCCTCTGCCTGCTGTTCCCCCTGCTTGTGCTGTCTCTCTCTCAAATAAATAAAATCTTTAAAAAATAATAACCTTGTACATAGGTCATATTGCACGATTGAGTTACTGTAAGATAGAATTTTTAAATTAGAATTACTAGGTCAGAAGATTTATGCATTTTTATTCTTGATAGATACTGGCAAATTGCTTTCTATAAAGATTATGCCCATTTACAGTCCCACCACCCATGTGTGAGATTGCCTATTTCCTTGAATCTTTATAAACAGTGTTCTGAAACATTTTGATCTTTGCCAGTCTGGTATCAATCCCAGTGGAATTTTGTATTTTCACTTAAGAATAAGGTTGGGTAGGGGGCCCCTGGGTGGCTCAGTCAGTTAAGTGTCTGCCTTCAACTCAGGTCATGATTCCAGGGTCCTGGGATCAAGTCCTGCATCAGGCTTCTTGCTTAGCAGGGAGCCTGCTTCTCCCTCTGCCTGCCGCTCCCCCTGCTTGTGCGCGTGCTCTCTCTCTCTTTCTGACAAATGAATAAATAAAATCTTTAAAAATAATAATAATGTTGGGTTATCTACTTGAACTATTAGTATTTCCTTTTCCTGTGAACTGTCACATTTAAACATGACTATGGTTTTGGTTGACACAAATAGATGGTGCAAAAATAGATGATGCAATATGAATTCTTAATCTACTTTATGAGAATATGACTAACCCAAAAAGAAGAGACTCTTTTTCTATCATTATACTTTAGAAAGGTTCAGGTGATAAAGGAAAATCTGTCCCTCAGAGACTTGTAAGAATTTAGTGGTAGATGTATCTGGGCCCAGAATTTTGTTTGTTTTAGGAATGTTTCTCTTCCACTTCTCCCTTTCTGTTTCTTTCTCCTCAATTCTTAATTGTAATTTTTCTAGAAAGAGCATCCATTTTATTTAGGCTTTTTTGAAAACGTATTTATGTAAAGGTATAGAAAGTATTTTTTTATAATTTTTTCTGTATACTATTTCTCAACAATTTCTTTATACATGCTTTCTTGCTTGATTAGCCAACTGGTGGTTTATTTACTTGTTTTTCGTACATATTCTTAGATTTATTTATCAATCCTACTTTTTAAAAATATTATCGTTGATTTTAACATAAAAAATACAAAGAGCACACCAAGTAACATTTAATCCTATTAAATCCTAGTATTTTACTATGCTCCATATTTTTATTTCAGAAATATTACAGAGCAAGATGAAGCTCCCTTGAAATCTTTTACTGATAGCATTCCTTTTATTTTCCCCAAAAGCAATGATTATTTGTTGTGCTTCTTTCCATGCATGTTTAATTTTATACTTAAAAGATAGCCTTCTTTCATATTTATAAACTTTATATAAAACTCTTAAGTTGCATTGTACATACCTTTCAGTAATTTTTTTTTCACTCAATGTTGTTTTTGAAATTTATACATGGATTTCTAGTTCATTTATTTTAGCTGCTGAATAATACCCCATTGTATGAATATACATGTTCATTCTTTCTCTATATAAAAGGACATTTTATACTCTTTGATTTTGCACTTTTATAATACTCCAATGAACATTTGTATATGTGGTACGCATTTGCACATTCAACAAATACTTTTAAGCAAGTACTATATACTAGACACTATTCTAACTGTGGAGACCCCACAGAGAATAAAATAAGGCCCTGACTCACAGTGAAATTTAGCTTTCTAATGTGATCCAAGATAGATACTGGAAGAGGCTGCTCACCAGTTCTTTATGTAGATAGATGATAATACAGAAAAGAATATAGGCTGCACTAGGATAAAAGATGAAACTTTGGAAGCTGTGGCCAATAAAGGCCTTTCCCAACCACCAATCCCTGATATACCGGTTGGGAAGGTCTGTTGTAGGGTATTTACCTAGAAGTAGACTTGATGGTTAAAGGGTATGTTCATCTTCCACTTTAATTAAACCTCGGTTTAATTAATTTTTTCTTTCCCACCATTATCTGAGTGTCTCTATTGTTCCACACATCCTTACCAACATTTGGTATTATCATTTTACTCTTTTTTTTTTTTTAAATTCATTGATTTCTGCTTTACCTTTTTTAAAAGAGGAAAACCAGGGGCACCTGGGTGGCTCAGTCGTTAAGCATCTGCCTTCAGTTTAGGTCATGATCCCGGAGTCCTGGGATTGAGCCCCGCATTGGGTTCCCTGCTCTGCGGAAAGCCTGCTTCTCCCTCTCCCACTCCCCCAGCTTGTGTTCCTGCTCTCTCTCTGTCAAATAAAATCTTATTTAAAAAAATATTTAAAAAATAAAATAGAAGGCAGTTAATCACTAGTATTGGATGCTTCTTGCATGCATGAAAAGAATGAATCTTTTCAATTTTGTAATGAAAGTGCTTAGTGCTATGAACTGTCCTCTGAAGTCACCTTTGTCTACCATGTGTTTTTCTCATTTTCATTATTTTCTAGCTGTTTGCAATTGTAGTTTCTGTATTGTCATGGAACCAGGAATTAATTTCAAGAGGTTGGGGTTTTTTTTCTTTTTAAATATTCAAATATTTGGTTTTTACTTTTTTCTTCCCCTATAAAGTCAGTAACATAAGTCCTAGACCTGAAAAAGAAAACTACAGTAATTAAAACGGCTATCTTGGTGAATACCTACTATGTAATGTAGTACTTTGTTCAGTGCTTTACATAATGATATTTCATTTAGATCTCTCAACACCTATCCTTTTACACAGGAAACAAAGACACAAAGGTTATGGATCACAGAGTAAATGGTGAATGTAGGATTTGTGTCCAGGCAGTGTGACTCCAAAGCCCCTGCTCTCAATCACCGTGCTCTACTAACTCTTATACAAACTGTCATCAGAAATCTTCCCAAATAAAAGATTAACTACCAGAAGGGCATTAAAGAATAGAAGATCACAGAAACATCAGTATAGTTTTTTAATTTCCCCAAATCCATTGAAGCAGAAATCCATGCACAACATCTACAACAAATCTTGGTGACAATGTTTCCTCATGGTCCCAAAATAAGATTAGGTAGTGACAAACTCAAAGGCAATCCATAAGACCTGAATGGTATTGACTATCTGTTTAGAAAGCCATGGGGGAGGGGCGCCTGGGTGGCTCAGTCGTTAAGCGTCTGCCTTCGGCTCAGGTCCTGATCCCAGGATCCTGGGATCGAGCCCCGCGTCGGGCTCCCTGCTCCGCGGGAAGCCTGCTTCTCCCTCTCCCACTCCCCCTGCTTGTGTTCCCTCTCTCGCTGTGTCTCTCTCTGTCAAATACATAAATAAAATCTTAAAAAAAAAAAAAAGAAAAAGCCATGGAGGAAAAGCAGTGGGACATCTGATACCCTTTGAGAATTAAGAAATCCCCCAAATAAACAGGTTTCCACTAGAAAGCATGGCAGGCATTTAGGAAACAGTAACCCAAAAAGAAGGTCCCTACAGATGTCAGTTAGCTGGTAAATTGAGGAGACCGTGCTAAGTTCTGAAGATGTTGGAGTAGTCTAGGTCCTTAAGAACTCTTTGTGTGTGTGTTTTTGTTTTTGGTCCTTATGAACTTTTGAAACTAACAAATACAAGCTTTATTTCCAAACAGCTCAATTAAGGAGAAACTGTTGGCTGTAAACAACAAATTTATCAGGACAAGAATAGTAGGGACAGAGGAAAGACAATGTACAGATTGAAATGGGAGAGACTCAGAGGAAGCAGAATCTCAGTATGAGGTCATTTTGTGAAAATGGCCAGCAAAGTTATTTTTGTCCTTTTTACCTCCCTAAAAGTACAGGAAAATGTATTTCACATAGAAGTGAACAACAGAATCGTAGAATTTAATACAAAAATAGAGAACAGAGTTATCCTTATAAAACCTAAAAATTAAGTTTTAATCCAAGCTATAAGAATTTAAGAAAACTATGAAAGCTATAAACGAATTAGAAAAGCTCAGATAAGTGGATGAAAGATTTTAAAAGATCAGTGACAATTCAGCAAAGCATTAGAAACTAAAGGGAAAAAAAATCACTTTAAAACTGAAAACTCAGGTGCCTGGGTGGCTCATTTGGTTAAGTGTCTGATTTGATTTTGGCTCAGGGTTGTGAGTTCAGGCCCTGTGCTGGGCTCCACTGTGGGCATGGAGCCTACTTAAAAAAAAAGAAAAAACTAGAAGGGACTCCAAAGTCAATAAGACACGATTGAAAATCCCTAAGAAAAAGAATGGAAAGGAAGAAAATGTTTTCCATCAAAACAAGAGACTTTAGGGCGCCTGGGTGGCTCAGTCGTTAAGCATCTGCCTTCAGCTCAGGTCACGATCCCAGGGTCCTGGGATCGAGTCCTGCATTGGACTCCCTGCTCAGCAGGGAGACTGCTTCTCTCTCCGCCTTTGCCTCTCCTCCCTGCTCATGCTCTCTCTCTCTCTCTCAAAGAAATAAATAAAATCTTAAAAAAAAAGACTTTAAAAGGATTCAAGAGAAAGTTATCAAATATAGAAGACTTGATATCCATATAAAAGGAATCTTCAAAGAAGAAATTGAGCCAATGGAAAAGAATATTAAAATACAGTAATCCAAAGCAATTGAAAAGAACAAATACTAAAAACTATATGCCAGTTATTTAGATTTTGTCTCAGCTCCACACCCACCATTCTGTCTCTGTTTTGTGATGATAAAGCTGGACATCCACAGCAGTTCTCTAGCTGGATCTTTGTTAGCCTCTACCAATAGGGGACACTAGAGGACAGCTGTGAGCCTGAGGGAGAAAGAATTTGTTCCTGCTTCCTGGGCTTTATGTCTGCTTGTGGCTGTGAGCATCATTCCAGCACTGCTACATCATCCTGGAAGCACCACCTCCTTCCCTAGCAGGAACTCATTCCAGTTGCAATTTTCACAACACTTACAGAACCACTTTAATATTGCCCCTCCTGTGAGACACCAGCAACCCCTCTTCAGGGATC